AATATATTTCCCTGTGCTATATAGTATATACTTATTTATTTTATATATGCCAACCAGTATCTGTATATCTCAAACTCCCAGTTAATCACTTCATTGTAGTTTTGATTTGCATTTCTCTGATAATTAGCAATACTGAGCATTTTTTCATGTGCCTATCGGTCATTTGTATGTCTTTATTGGAGAATTGCTTGTTTAGGTCTTCTGCCCATTTTTGGATTGTGTTGTTTGCTTTTTTTTTTTATTTTGGAAGAGTATGAGACAGATTGGTATAAGTTCTTTTTTGTATATTTTATAGAATTCCCCAGTAAAGCCATCTGGTCCTGGATATTTCTTGATAGGAAGTTTTTTTTTTTAATTGCTGATTCTATTTCATTTCTAGTAATCAGTCTGTTCAAGTGGCTCATTTCTTCTTGATTAGTTTGATGGATGATATGTTTCCAGAAAATTGTCCTTTTTTTCTAGGTTGTCCAATTTGTTTTCATATAGTTGTTCATAGTATTCTCTCTCTCTCTCTCTCTTTTTTTTTTTTGTATTTCTGTGACATTGTTTGTAATTTCTCCATTTTCCTTTCTTATTTTGTTTGTGTTCTCTCTCTTTTCTTCTTTGTGAGCCTGGCCAGAGGTTTGTCAATTTTCTTTACTCTTTCAAAAAAACAGCTCTCTGATTGATTTTTTTTCTATTTTTATCCCTATTTTATTTATTTCCTCCTTGTTCTTTATTATTGAACATTTTATGTAAAAAACAAAGTCCCTAATTTGCCCTCCTTTGATTAGATATATTTTTGTGGATATAGGAATTTAGACTCAAAACTATTCCTCCTCTGATTTTGAAGGTATGGATTCATTGTGTTCTATCATTCAGTGATGTTAATGAGACATTCATGATAGAAAAAGAAGAGGATACAAGTTAAAAATATGCAAAAGATCAATATAGACAGCCATACACACCCCCCTACACACACACACACATACACACAAGATATGGGAATCATACATTAATAAGAACTCATTTTCTCCTCTGTCAGATTGATAGAGATTATAAAAATAGTAATACTTAGCATTGGCACAAACTGGAAAAATGTGTAATTTATACACTGCTTGATGGGTGTGGAAACTGGAATGAACTTTCTGGAGGACATATTGATAATATTCAGAAGTAAAACCTATAATTTTTATCTTTGTAGGTGAGATTTCTGTTTGTTTTTATTTGTTTTTCTAGTTGAAAAAATTTTAGTTCTCTCTTTCCTTGGTTTAGTAAAGTTTTATAAAGATGCCTTTGGTGAAAATCTATTGACCTTCATCAACTACTTACTGGGCCCTTCTCTACCTGCTGTTTTGTTTTAGTCTCAGGAAAATAGTTTTTCTATTATTTATTTGATTTTGTTCCCATACCTTCAGTTTTCCTGTTTCTTTCTTTCTTGACATTTTATTAGCTGGATATCAGTTCCCCTGTATGGAGGACCACTCTTCTATCTTTAAAATGTTAATCTCATGTATTCTATCTCTTTTGTATTTTGTTTTTATATTCTGAGAGAGATTTGATATTTTTCTTTGCTTTCTATTATTTTTTCACCAAACACTTAAATATAAATATTTTAAATTTTCATTAACTCTGGTTCCTTTCCATATCAACCTATTCTTGTTTTGTTGATGTGATATCTTCATACAACCAGGTTGACCCACAAAAATAATAATTAGAATGTTTGAAAAGTTCTCTTTTCTCTGTTTGTCTGTTTCCATTGGTGAAAGTTTTCTCCTTTTTTTATTTTAATCCATTATTTTGGTTTTGTTGTTTTTCCTTGAATATCTGGTAACGCTTGATCTTCTATCCTTATTCACATTTGAGGTTCATATTGACTAGCTTTAATACCTGGTGTGTTTCTTCTCTACTCAGTTATTATAAATAAATGCACAGTAAGGAATATAATTATTATGAGTTAATGTTAATTTTATTAGAAATAGACCCACTTAATAAAATATTTTAGTTTTACTATATAATATGCCTGTAATATTGACTACTTGTGAGACTTATAGAAGTACATATGTAGGAAATCTTTAACATTGGTTTATCCCACTTAGTTTATCCACCTTAATGAGTTGTCTCATTAATAAAATGTCTTACAAATATATACTTTGACGTTTTGTCTAAGATATTTTTGGGTTAAAATCTCTTCCTAGATATTTAGTTGAAAATGTTTTAGGTGATTTAGATTATATTTTTAAAATATCAACATATTATTTTATATATAAAGATAATACCATTTTGACATGTGTCCATAATTTGTGATCAAAATTTACTGATTCTCCATGTGTGAAGAGATTATTTTAAAAGACTATTATACAGTATAAGAAATTTATACAAACACTGTTAAAAGAGTGGTATGACTTCACTACAGTTATTTACAGAATAGACACATTAAGGGAAACATGTATTGTTGGCAAAAGAGTTTTTTTTCCCCCTTTCAAAACTCATAGACAAATTGGCTGCATCAGCCTGGTGAAAAATTTTCATTCAAAAGATGCCAAGATCATTTTCATGATGTCACATTGCTATCCATTCATTTTTTCACATACAGAGCCTTTTCATATTGGGGTCATAAGTCAAAGAGGCTAGATTGACCTCATCTCAGTGAAGTAATTAGACTTCTTTTCATCTTCCTTGCACATTTGTTCCATGAAAGCTTTAAATCTGGGAAAGAAACAGACTTATGGGCTGGAGAAACAAACAAACACAATTTCCTTGCCTTATTCCTTGGCCAGTTATGAAGTAGGGAGCATGTGGTGATTTGAGAATTTGGCCATGGGCACCACAGTCCATTCAAAATAATTAAAAAAGATCTTGAATAAACTTGGGTCAGAGCCAAAATTCCTACCAGTTCAATCAATATTTTTGATATAAAAATTAGCATCTGGGCTGAATAAAAGACAGAACTGTTTCAGACCACAGCAAAACCACAACAAAACAAAGGAATAACAACAACAGCAGCACACTCTTGTTTCTACTCTGACCTTCTCATGCTGGATATTTGATTTGTGTTTGTGATAATGTTTCAGAGCAGTAGACTTGCAGTCATCAGATTTAAGCCTCTCATTTGGATCAAGGGATGCAATGAGAGTGATAGTGACAAGTTCTACCTTAAACTTTGTCACAAGCACCACTGCTTTTCCAAATGGGTAAACTGGTCTCTGGTCTTACTTTTTTCATTCCTGCTTGAATTATCCCTGCTACACAAAGTTTAACTGAAATAATTTTTTAAGAAACTTGATTCAAGAAGGAAGAGAGCATGCTCAGAAAAAAGCAACACCCTGTCAGAGTCTGGGAATCCCTATTTAGGCACTGTTAATCCCCTGACAACTACAACACTGCTGCCTTCCAAGATGAGTCTGTTATTAGTCTCTATGAGAGTCCTGAGAAGATAATGTGTGTCAGAGTTCTTGGTACAGAGTTTGGCACATGATAAGTGTCTGAAAATGATTGATTGATTAACTTTCAAGGCATCACATACCTACTTTAGAAATAATTCTTAGTATTTTAAAAAATATTTTAATTGAAGATATTTGACTTAGAATGTTGTGTGTTTCACATGTACAACAAAGTGATTCAGATATATATGTATTCTTTTTCATAGAATTTTCCATTATATGTTATTACAAGATACTGAATACAGTTCCTGTGGTAAACTGTATGTCCTTGTTGTTTATTTTATATATAGTAATTTGAATCTACTAATCTCAAATTCCTAGTTTAACTCTCCCCCTTTTCCCATTTTGTAATCATAAGTTTGTTTTGTATAACTGTGAGTATATTTCTGGTTAGTAAATAAGTTCATTTGTATCATTATTTTCAGATTCTACAAATTACTGTTATGAAATGATTTGTCTATCTCTGTCTGGCTAACTTTACTTAGTATAATAATCTCTATGTCCAACCATGTTGCTGCAAATGACGTTACTTCATTCTTATTTTTATGGCTGAGTAAAACTGTAGTATAATTTCTAGTTTTGACCCAGGAAATTTGCATGCAGTTTATGAGATAGACAAAGATTTGACTCACTTTGGTACCTTGTTATCCTTAAGACTTACTTTTTAATCAGGTTAAAATAAATTTAGGAATAAATTGAGACATCTCTTAGAAAGACTCAGTGAAGTATGTGCTGATAAAATCATAATATTTTGGGGGCTTACCTCAAAGGAACCTGGTGAGAGGGAAAGTGAAGTAGGTGGGGGAAATGAATGAAAAAGGCTGTCAATGGATTAATAATGTTTGAAGATAAGTGATAGGCACATACAGGTTCATGATACAATTCTATTTTATTGTATATTTACATTTTTTCATTATAAAACTTTTTAAATGAGTAGATTAAGAATAACTTTTTAAGTGGATGGACTGCTGTCAGCTAAAAGTTGAGTCCCTCCCCAAGAATTGCCTTCATCTGAATGAGATTGTTTTGTGCAATGTAACACTCTTCCACACACCTCTACCCTGGTAGTTTTTATCCCATGACTAGTCAATGGGGAGAAGACAAAAATACCCGAATCCCTTGCCTCCCTTTGAGATACCTCTAAAGGCCCATCTGAATGGCATAGCTCCCCTGGGGTTGAGTCAGGCTTTTGTCATGATGACATCACAGTTCAGCTACTACTTTTTACAATCCTGTTCCCTCACTCCACCCTAGATATCACACCACTGTATGTGATCTTAATGGTGTGCTGGTAAATGTTTAACAGCTGGCTCTCCAGATCCCTAATTTGTAGTGTTTGCCAATTTCCATACTGTAAATTTTCCTGTGATGACCAGCTTCAAGCTACCAATGTGGTGTCACTGAAAGCACAGTTGGGAAGGAGGAAGCACAATTGGTTCTTCTGACACAGTGCAAGCCAGGGCTAACCATCCCTGACCAACTTTTCTCCATGAAATTCTTTAAAACAAATCTCTATCTTAGTCTTATTTTATTTAGAGTAACCCAAATTAAATTACCAATAACCCACCATTTATTTTGATAATTTGTTTATTAAAGAAATTTACACATCACAGATAGAATAAAATAAAATTGGTCACTTCCAATACTTCTGTGAAACACACACACACACATGCACAACACACCACAACATAAGACAATGTCCTACAATAATTGCCTAGAAACATTTAAAATATAGGCTCTCTTTAATGTCCTGAACATTACATGGCTGCAGACATCATTCTGAGAAAACTGACTTCAAATATGTTGTTCCTACCCAGACCAGGGAAAATTGTCAATAAATCATCAGATAAGTTCAAATCACAATTGTTATTATTGCCATAAAGTGTATATTTAATAGAGTTAAGTTTTCCTCATCAGAACTTTTAAGTCAGAGTAACCCATTTATATTTTCTATCTCTGAAGAAAAATAACAGGAGAGCATTGAATGTTTGAAGAACTATTAAGATTTTCACCTTGTCCAAGAGCTTTTTTTGGAATAAATAAATAGGGGTAGGAAAAAAGGAAAAGAAACAAGTCCATATTAAATGGGACAAAGGAATGAAAAACAAAAGGGATATCTTGTAGGCAATAAAACAGAAGATAACTAGAGAAAGGATAATTTTGTACAAATGAATGGCAGATTATTCTTCAACATTGGATCCATTCTTGTTAAAAGAGAAGACACCTGGGAAATGGGAACAAAAAATCCCATTGAGGATAAAAGTTAAGAATAATTAATTTTATTTTAGTAGCATAAAAAACCTTAATTGCCAACAGAGAATCAAAACGAATTTCCTGGTATGTTATTAGAGCCAACTGATCTACCAAAACAAAAAGTTCCAAGAGTGGTTCTTAAACTATGAAATGGATTAGAATCCCCTGGGAAGGCTGGATAAATTTCAGATACCTGGGCATGATAGCTAGTCTGATTCAGTGGAAGCCTGGTATGGGGCCTAGGGGTCTGCATTTTAACAAGATTCCCAGCAAATTCTGATTCGTCTCTGGCAGGGCAAAACATGCTGAATGGCAATAGAGACAAACACCCAGGATACTGCAGTTCCATGACAAGACAAGAAAGGTGTCTACACTATCTCCCAAATGAGTAGATATATATTCCTCACGAATATCCATCTAGATCCTTTACCTTCTACTTCCGTGAAGGTCACCTTTAGAACAATATCTTCCACCAGTTTTTCATCTCTGTACCATTACTGTCTTACTTGCTCTGTAAAGGAAGGGAAAAGTGTGTTCGTGTGTGTGTGTGCACATGTGCATCCACAAGTTGGAGAGCTGGGGGTGAATAAAGCTATAGTTCTGTTGGAAAATTGTCTTTTGGAACAGAATCAACTAAACGGGCATTTTTGATTCTGGTATAGTTAGTGAGACTCAATAATCCCTATTGAATTTAAATCATGGTTTTACTAACCTTGCAGTAGATTTTTTCTTAATAAAACTTAAACATTCTCATAAACACCCTCTTAACCAAACTTATTGTATATGACATATATTCTTATATACTACCAGCCCTTTGGGACCTGGGCCTCTCTAATGTGCTCAGGAAACATTCCACTTTGATCCCTGATGTTCTCTAAGTGTATTCTCAACACAGATGCTTTGACACAGATAGGTCCTTTATCTTGAATTGGAGAATATAATGAATTGGCCAGGACTCTGGGATCTTGATAAAGGTACATTTTGGACACTTAATTAGGAACAACTTCAATTAAATGCACATTTTCAAGAGAAATACCTATGTGTATTTGCATTGTTCATTTATACAATATAGATTTTCTTTACACAAGGAATGCTGCACCACTTCACTGAGGAGAATTGGAATTTAATCTGGAATTGAGATATTAATATCAGTCCTTGGATGGGGCAACTGGATTTTCAAAACCCACTTCCTCTCCTCTTCTGCTTATAGGACTCCTTGCACACATTCATGAGGAAATTTATCATTGTGATACACATTTAAGCTGAGGTGCCTACTGAGGGTTATCATTTCCCCATAAAAAAGATTTCCACACTGATCACTTTTAACTTCAAATAAGCTGTGAGCATCTAGGTCTGCTGCTCCATCTGACACTGTGCTGTGGGCAGAGTTTCCATCTCAGCTCCCACTATGAAAGTCTGGGCCCACCTGTGTCATGCAAAGTCAAACCTCTCTTGAAATGATTTGTTTATAGTGTAATTTGATGGAGAGAAATATGCTGTAATTCATTTGAACAATTACAGAAGCTTTGTTGAAAGATCATCACTGTTTTTTAGTTTCCCAGCCTGAGCATAATCAGGGACCATATTAAAGATAAAATTTTCCACTGGCCTTTTCCATATCAACCAGGTCCAATTAGCAAAGGGCTACTTTTGCAGAAAAGTGTGTGTTAACATTTAGAGAAAGAGAGAGTGGCAGACAGGCAGACATCTAGTGACAGAGAGACAGAGAAAACTTAGGTAAATTACAATTAGTTGTCCAATAGTGTACAAGCCCACCCAGCACCCAATTGGAGTGTTCCTGCCAAATGACAGTATCATTTAATAGGCCTGTCAAAACTGAAAAAGTTTAATGGAATTTACTTTTAAATGTCATTTTTGAATCAATATGCTCTTCAAGTGTAGTCTTGGAAGTCAACTCTAAAGGACCTTGAATTTCACCACATACTCCAAATTCAATAGGAAAATGACAACTCATTCCTAAAGATAGTAAAGATCATGTGGGCTGAACATTCAGTCCACAAGGCACCGACAATGTTCTAGTTGTAATCAATTTAAAGTTTTAATTCAGGCTTAAAATTTGACTTACTTTCTGTCCCCTTCCTGATGAAATAAAAGTCTTGAATTTTCCAATCCTTAAGAACTCAGCTGTAAAGTGGTAGGAGATCAACAAAAGGAAAATGAAAGTTTCCTTTAAAGATCCTTTTGGTTGCTGACCAGGTCTGCTCTCTCCCTGGAAATATTGAATATGGCTTTTGACACTTGTTCTTGGAAAAAGTCCAAATGTGGCAAATGGGAGAAGCCACATTTCTTTACCCTCTTGCTTGGAACTTCCCATGACATGGATGAGTTTTAGCTGGTGCTGTCATGGGTAAAAAGGACTTCAGCACCTGCCCCCACCCCACTCCTGCCCTGTCTGCAGATTACATAAATAAACACATAGTGAAATCTACTGAGTTAAAAATCAAAACCCTCTCATTTGGTTGGAACACCTGAAAGGGTCTAGAGCAAAAAGGCTGCACAGTAGCAGTTAAAACACAGGCCCATTGATATTAAAAACATTCAAAGAAGTACAGGTGTGTATTTGTAGCAGGATACTTGGAAGAGGAGAAAGGTAAACTCTGGAACCAAAGTTTGTCTCTGCTGAGACATTAGAAACACAACAAAAATCATGTCTCCCTTGGTTCAATAAAGCTGGTTTGGAAACCAAAACTGTCCTTAGAAAGGAGGAGAAATCAACTTATATTCTTTTTGAGGAAAGGAGGGAGGTCTTTCTGGTGAGGTCTTTAGGTTCCACTCAGGATCAGGAAACTCAATCCTCAAGTTCAAAGTTTGTCTCATCATAGAGTTCAGGGCGAGCTGATTTCCTGTGCCTGGAATATTTCAACTGCAGGAGGTCACCCATCTCATCCAGTGCTTCCAAAACCTGCAAAGAGATTGGCCCCGATCAGTTCTTCTTAAGCCCCCAAGTGGCCTTGCTTTCTTGAGTCACTCAGAGAACCACAGTCTTCTTTTGCCAGCTCATTTGATTTTAAAGAAAAAAAGAAAGATTCAAATAATTACGCTGTGATTCATAAGCCAGCCCTGGAAGAATGTCAGAGGCTAACACATTTTATTTCATATTCTTTAATAGTCTAACTCCACACTACAAATGTTTATTTTATTTTGGGGGTATGAGGAGAGGAAAAAAAGCACCCAAATCATGCTTACCCTTGAAGGCTTTATTTTAAAGTTTAATGACATATATAAACTTGTGGAAGAAAAAGATAAGTTTGCAGATTACATTTGAGTTGTGTCTTCATGACATAGCAAACCAACCTGGCCAGGAAGAAAATAGAATTTTATGGAGGCTGATTAGCATTCTTCTCTCTCTCCTGTGCTCCCCTGCCCCCAACTCTCCCACCCCCAGTTTTTAAATACTAATATCTATGCTCCAGAGAATATTAGAACTTAAAACCACAAGGGAAAAAGAACTTATCCATTTCAAGTCTCTTAATCCAAGCGGGTAAGCGTATCCCCAATTTTACAAATGAAGCAACTGAGATCCAGAATATGCAAAAAGTAATTTTTCCTTCTACTCTATCACTAACCCTAGAGTATTGGATTTTTTTTAACCTTTTGAGACTTTTTTTCTTAACCAGTCAAATGAGAAGGAAGATGATATTAGGGTCCAATGTTGTGACAAGGGAAAAATAGTTGTTAATATCAGAATGAATGACTCATGGGGCTTATGGATGCTCCCATTTGGGAAGTCTTTCAAAATGATATCAATTATCTACTAACATGTTAAGAATAGTTTATTTATGGGTGGTAGAATTATGGGTGATTAAAGTTTTCTTTTTACTTCAATATATTTTCTTAGTTTCTATAACAAATATAAGCACTAAGAAAAACTAACAAGAATTCTGTCTAAAATGTGATCAAACTGGGATAGTTTCCATTGTGTTTACTGAAGGTTGGGAATGGAGTAGCTCAGTGGTTTTGAAAGCAAAGGATCCGCACACTTGGAGGAGATGTGAGATAACTCATGGAAGATGTGGGAGGAGAACATATGATTTTGATTCATTTCAATCTCAACCTTCTATTTAGAAATTATTTTAAAAATTTGTATAAAGATTTAAAGGTTATTTTAAATTTACAATTATTACGCAATATTGGCTATATTTCCTGTGTTGTACAATACATCCTTGAGCCTATCTTACACCCAATAATTTGTAACTCTCATTCCCCCTTCTCTATATTCCCCCATCACTGATAACCACTAACTTGTTCTCTCTTTCTGTGAGTTTGCTTCTTTTTTGTTATAGTCACTAATTTGTCATATTTTTTTAGATTACACATATAAGTGATATCATGCAGTATTTGTTTTTCTCTGTCTGACATATCACTTAGCATAATGCTCTCCAAATCCATCTATGTTTCTGTAAATGGCAAAAATTCATTATTTTTATGGCTGTTTATGTTCTTTGTGTCCCATTATGTGTGCGTGTGTGTGTATCCCCCACATCTTTATCCATTCACCAGTTGATGTATATTTAGATTGATTCCACATCTTGGAGATTTAAAATAATGCTTCTATGAACATTAGGGTTCATGTATCTTTTCAAATTAGTGTTTTAGTTTTTTTTAGATATATATCCAGGAGTGGAATTGCTAGGTCATATGGTAGTTCTTCTTTTAGTTACTTGAGAATCTTTCATACCATTTTCCTCAGTGGCTGCATCAATTTACATTCCCAAATACAGTGTAGGAGGGTTCCCTTTCCTCCACATCCTCCCCAACATTTGTTATTTGTGTTCATTTTGATGATAGGCACTCTGACATGTGTGAGGTGATATATCAAAATTTTAACTTCTTTTTGTGTGTGTTATACAATGCACATAACATATTGATATTATATGTATAATTTATAAATGGATTAATGTTGAAGCCCACACTGATCAACTACCTGGAACACATCTGAACTCAAGCAAAGTTAGATTTACTTGGCTTGCTATGACATAGCAGTGTGTGCTCTAGAACTGTCTTTGTAACAAGGAACTGAGAAGGGCTACTTATCACACTGGGACTTGTGCAAGAGATGATTCTAAGGAAGTATGGAACAGTTCTGGGTTGGATGCTGTCAAGAGGAGGGAGAAGGTCAGTGTTGGTAATTTGTAGACTTCTTACCCAGGAGGCAGAAGGAGTATAGTGAGGCTAGAGTTGTCCTCTGAAAAGGAGTAGATGTCACTCATGTTAGAAGAGGGATATTTTAAGTCATTTTCTATTTGTAAAGTGGACTCATTTCTGTCTTGTTCCAAACAAGTTCACTGAATGGACTTGTCTAACATTGTCTATTTCCTGTGAACATTGTTTCTAGTAGTTTATGTTCACTTGCTACCTTAATGCCCTGACTTTCAAGGGGAATTTTTTTTCACTTTTTCTTATATTTAACAGTAAGAAATCTGCTCAAATGTTTGTATTGATAAGGGAGCATGATCCCAAAATTTGAAGGATTTGTCCAAATGACATTTTTGTGTTCCTTCCAAACCAAGTATTCCACAGGAATTAACTCATGAAGAAAATCACTGGTCTGATCTCTACAGAACTGTGTACTCATGAGCACCTCAGTGCTGTTTGGATCAGAAAAATAATGCAAATCCACCCATGCTGCCCTTCCCCTTGTGATATCTCTGAGAGTTTGTTCCCAGCAGTGTTTCTCTCCTCTTCTGCAGCACCACTCTCTTTACTCCTTTCCTCCCTTGATATCTACAAGTGCTCATTTTCCCCACTTCCAAGGGCTTTTTCTAAACCTATTTTTCTTGCCTTTACAAACTTCATGAAAGACTTGTGTACTATTTCTTACCACCAACTCATTACATTTGAAAGTAACAATTTGTTAAAATAGATGCACTAAAAACATATACATATTTTGAAGAATCTTGACACAAGAGGAGAGTATAAAGAACAAAGTAAAGTTCATACACCATCTGAAAACATAGAGTTAGAGGGAGAAGGGCCAAGATGGCAGAGTAGAAGGATGCTCATAGTTCACCCTTTCCCATGAATACACCAAGACTGACATCCATGGACCCACCCACCCAATCAGAACACCTGCTGAACTTTGACAGGACATTGCTTTCTTCAAAAGAAAAAATACACCACTACACTCATAGGAGAAAAGGAAAAGAAAGGAAGAAAAAGGAAAATAGTGCAGTATAGGTCCTGTTGGGGGAGGGGGAGTGGCAAAAAAGGAATAGCACTCATTTCCTGGGTCACCCCCTCTCCAATGGAGAGGTCAGCAGGAAGAAAGGGAAATCTCCAACGCTCAGATCTTTACAGAATATCCCTTAACCAACAAAACTAAGTTAAATGGGCACAAAGGGTCCCTGCAACAACCATTCCTAGATACTAACAAACTAGCAGGGGTGGAATGGGACAGGCTGCCCAAGCTCAACAGAGGACTTGGGTCAACTGTACAGAGGCAACCTTGGGGGACTGCAATGTGCTGTGTGCTGTTGCTGGGAGGATACACTGATTAGAACACCATGAGTCTCCAATAAAACACAAACACACAAAAAGCAAATCAACACTGCTGGTGTGCCTTAGGGGGAAGAGTAGCAGAGCCTTTGTCACTACAGACCCTCAACACCATTATTTGTGCATTCTCCAGAGAAGAGAGTTGGGGCTCAGCCATAGCCACCATATTCTCTGATGACCCGCTCCCAGGCTGAGGTGAGGTCGAAACCTGAATCCATACCTAGGGACTTCATAACCTCATAGGTGGGACTGAGATTTGTTTGTAGTCTCAGGTAGATAGGAACTTTCTGCCCCATGCTTCTGTGAACTTGTGCCTCTAAAATAAACAAGAGCAGAGATCTAGCACAGAGCAGGGGTGGGGAATGGTGCGGCCATATTCTCTGAGCCCACCTACAAAGTGCAGACCCAATGTGGAGTGGGGAGCAGCACTGAATAGGGGAGCAACTAATCCGCCTTCCATGCACAAGGGCGGCTCTGAACAGCAGCATAGGGAGGGGGCACAACCCACCCACCTACTAGCACTGGGAGAAGAACAGACTTGGGGCATGACCAGAGGGCCTCTGGACACAGCAAGTAGAGTTGATGCAGTAGGCTGAGGACAGGAGCAGGGACAACCACAGAACAAAAAGGAGGTCCCTTTCAATATCCAGTGCAGTCTCTGGCTACAAGATCACCAGCCACAACCCCAAACAAAGGGATAACAGGCAAAAGGCAGGGAAGGACGACTTTGCAACCACTCATACTTAAGAAGGACCTCTAGACAAAAGTATTAAGAGCACACAGACTCTACAGGAACATATCCAATTCTTCCTTCTTTTTTTTAACTTTTTAAAAAATTTTTATGTTTATATTCTTAAGCCTTTGTAAGATTCTCTTTTAAAACATTTTATATTATTTTTAATTTGTCTCAATTTCATTTTTATTTCTCTTTTCTTTGTTCTGTTATTGATTATACTGTTTTCAAATATTTTTTCCTTCTTTTACTTTTATTTATTTTTAAATATTTTCTTATTTTTTAACATTTTTATTGAGTTATAGTCATTTTAAAATGTGTCAAATTTCAATGTAGAGCACAATTTTTCAGGTATACATGAACATACATATAGTCATTGTCACTTTTTTTTTTGCTGTGAGCTACAACAAGATCTTGTATATATTTCACTGTGTTATACAGTATAATCTTGTTTATTTATTCTATATGCCTGTCAATATCAGCAAATTTTGAACTCCCAGTATCTTTCTTTCCACCTCTATCCACCTTGGCAACCACAAATTTGTATTCTATGTCTGTGAGTCGGTTTCTGTTTTGTATTTATGTTTTTTTTTTTTTTTTTAGATTCCACATATGAGTGATCTCATATGGTATTTGTATTTCTCTTTCTGGTTTACTTCACTTAGAATGACATT